TATAGTTTGAAGAAAATAATATACTATAAGCTAAAGTTTAAAAAATTAGTGATAAAGTTATCAAAGCATATATATTTTTTAACAGCAAGTATTTTTTTATTAATGGGTATAAGTGCACTCCAATCCTTACACAAAATTTTTCATCAGTATATGTGTTTTGTTATTTTTTTAAACTATTATAGTTTGAAGAAAATAATATACTATAAGCTAAAGTTTAAAAAATTAGTGATAAAGTTATCAAAGCATATATATTTTTTAACAGCAAAGCAGTATTTTTTTATTAATGGGTATAAGTGCACTCCAATCCTTACACAAAATTTTTCATCAGTACAGTTAAAACTTTAAAAAACCAGCATATAAAATATTCCTCGTCTTCACATAACTCCCAGATATAATTTAACAAAACATCCTGCATATGGTGAAGGAAAACTTATAGGGATTGAGAAATTATACCGGCTCCTCTAGAACTTGGTCTTCTTCAATCAGAAGGTTTGAGGATAGAAAATGCAGATATCGCGAAATATACAGTAGATTTTACTAAATTGATGCAATCTGCGGAAAAAATATGGAATTTGAGATTTTAAGTGGTATCACTATGTTGTATATAAAATCAAAAGGCTGAAAAGCATATGTTCGGAACAAGCTAGAAAATATGGAAGTGGAGAACAGCATTTAGGACTTCTGGGTCTTGTTTGAAAGCAACTCTTGCAGAAGAGTACTTGTTGGGCTGGGGTTATGGTCAATTGCTCATCAGCCTTTTGTGAAGACTATTAATTTGTTATTATTTTATTAGTTATTATTATTTTTATATAATTAATTATTATATTTAATTATATTTTTTATGAATTGATTTTAATTTATTAAATAATAAATATTAAATATTTGATTAATTATCAATTATTTTTAACAATCAAATTAAAATAAAAATTTGGTAATTTTAGTGGCCTAAGAAAAATAAAGATGACCATAACCATTACTATAACCACAACCATTTGCCGGTATTGGAGAAGAAGGAAGGAATCTATGACTTAGTTTGATGATGTGTATTGTGTTATACTGTAGTATACTAGTAGGGTTTTTATTTTTTTATTGTTTAAAAATATATAAAATATTAAAATTAATAAAAATATATAAAAAAATTAATTAAAATTAATTAAAAA